ATACCGAGTGGCATTAGCTTCTTAGTGCTGTGCTTTAACCCACTGTGCCACCAGGGAGGGCCCTGATTTTTTTTTCTTTGTTCTGAAATGTTGGCACTAAGTTTATGTGCAATAATATATAGGCAATGATCTGTCTCCTATTTTGAATTTTCTTTGTGCTATCATCCTTGAAAAGCCTACAACAGGGTTTGCCACTGAAAAGAGATCACGTCAGCCAAATGAATTTCTGTCAAGCCCTAAATTTATGTATTATTTAAGGTCACGGTTATTAACTAAACAAATGGAAGAAACTTGGGTAGAGACATAGCTCAAGCAGACTATAAAATTTTAGAACACAAGAGGCCAGTACATTTTTTATGGCTCCAAAATAAAGCATCTGCAGGATATAGTTGGTGACGTACTTTATATACATATTTCTTTCTCTCCTTCTAAAACTAATATTCTGGACAATTAAAAAAAAAACTGCACTTAATAAAATGGGCTCTTTTAATGCATTCCTTACTGTTGTAGTGAACATGGGCCATGTCCGTGGGTTACTGCTGAATTGTTGTTTGACTAGAGATGCATTGTGATCTGCAGCACCCATTAAAAAAATTACTTTATAATGAGCAAAATGGAATTAACCATAATTGTGCCTATAGCAGCTCTGTGTCAGGAAATGTCTCCTGTCATGGTGGTATGTTCCTTATCAGTGACAATTTTATTATCTGATTTGCATTGTCTTCTCTTTGCTGCCCTATTGATACACAGAATGTGTCGATCCATTCCAAGGAGAAGCAGATGCCAAGAATATCTCGCTCACTTTCTCTCCTACTCCTAGAAAATCTTAAGTAATTCCCATTTGGAGAGTAAAAAAGATAACAGCAACCAAACTTCATCCTCCAAGGCTATCCTTCCTTCCCTCATAACCGAACCACACCCCCACAACATCCTAAAATCTTTTTAATAGTCTTATGTACTTGCTGGAGGCAACTTTTAATAACTTCTTACTTGCCTCCATTCTCAGACCTTACCACTGTCTGCCTCTGACCAAGCCTCCAGGCATCTCATTATTGATGGGCTGGTCACTTCTAAGGCAGAGAGAGAAGGGAGAGAAATTCCCTTCAACTCATAGTCGTATCACCAAAGAGTCCCTTCGACTGTTACAGAAGCATCACTCTGTAGGCTCCGAGACAGTGGGCCAAGATAAGACACATAGATGTGAATAGCCTCCTCCTGCAAGGGAATTCACCTGCTCTTCCGACCCATCTCTCCCTTTGAATTCATCATGTGAGCATCTTTTCTGTGCAAGGGATGAGTGCGTTAAAAGGTACCGAAGTAGGCCCCAGTTCTTCAAATTGTGAGTTGGATAATGGGTTGGCTATTCAAATATTCCACAAGGCAAAGAACTGGAAATCACACCAGGGAAAATGTGTTTATAGTGACATATGGTTTATGCAAGTTCAAAAAGTATATAGATTTTTTTGAATCCAAATCTTCTGTAATAGATTATAGAAATAGAGGTTTTTTTAACCAACACAAGCTACACAATTCTCATTACTTTAGCAAGCCTTCTATGCTTATTGAGTCTGAAAAAGCATCTCTCAATATCTGAAACCCACTTTAACAGAATTTAAGCAAATGCCCTATTTTCTCTGGAGCAATTTGGATTGGTACAAGTGACTGTCACTGGTTCTTGGGTACTGGTTGAAGTCAAGTCCCCTAAATCTAGAATTGCCTATATTGGGACTCACAGCTTCTTCATATGCTTCATTAATTAATTTAAAGAATAATATCTTCTGATTTCATATCCACACCTGTTTTTAAGAGAAACATAGGCTTTACATAAGTTTTGCTCATTTTAGATATAGATGAATGTGGCATCTAACTGTAGCAACATGATAAAACATTTTCTGGGCCCTCCCTGGTGGCACAATGTGTTAAAGTGCAGCACTATGAAGCTGTCAGTGGCTGCTTTAGCATGAATTCAATCTCTGGCCAGGGGGCTAGCCCACATGGCGCAGCAGACCTCTCCTGTATTGCCTGCTGCTCCCCTCAGTAGTGTACTTCATCAATCTGCCTGTTCTGCTCCTTACTCTGTCTCTGGTGAATCCTCCCACCCACTGCCCCTGCACTTCTGTCCTGTACCCCAATTCTGTATGCATAAATAAATCTTTAAAAAACAAAGTTTCTTACCTTGGAAGTTCTCTCATTTTCTTTTTCAACATCAATAGCATCAACACATTTTGCATATGTAGGTCCTATCGGGTTAGCAATGCCAATTGTGGTCTTTAAAATAGGCCAGAGGTGATTTATTTACAATAAGAAAACTTATAAAATAAAAATTATAAAAGGAATTGAATGTTTATTCCTATAATAATTTCTAGTGACTTCATATGAGGGTCATTGGGAGAAAACAGATCTGTGCATTAGAACAGAAAGGGAGGAGGGTAGGGAAGAGGTTGAAGTTTTACAGTCAAGTTTTGAGTGTTAAATGGAGCTCGTAGGTTTGACATGAAGGTTGTTCATGAGTGCAAGTGAGACTGATGTTGGAGACTCTGTATTTGTCTCAGGTCCCAAATTTATGAGAAGCACATGCTTTGTTCTGCCAAAGGGTATCTGAAATATTTCCAACTTCCAGGTCTTAGTTAGTAGACCAGAGTGAACCCAAGAAACAGAAATGAACAGTTGTGAGCTATAAGCAGGAAAGCTTTGAACATTAGAGAGGATTAACCAAAGGAAATAAAAACATTTTCCTCAACTGAATGTTAGCACAAACAGAGCAAGAAATAGCTCCAGCATCTTTGTGAAACTGCATAACACCGGACACATTCTCAGGAAAAGAGATAATAAGTAAAGATTAGTTGGACAGTTGGCTATGTACAAAATGTCTTGGATATTTGTTATGTCTAGTTTAGTTCTTGAAAATGCTATATCTTCCACCACCCTGAAAAGGTTCCACTAACAACTCAAGCCAAATGCCTCTAACTGCAATATGAACTTGTTGGGGGGGACTTACCTTCAATAACTGAAGCATACATTTCAATTGGCAGAGAAAGGGGGGTTGGGTTAGGAGCCTCTTGACTCAAAAGAATGGTGAGGAAGAGCAGCAGACGTGTGGACTTTCTGTATTTTGGGGCGAGTCCGCTTCCTGTGGCCTGGCTATGTGGTACTGATTTCTGTGAGATTTGAATGAACTTAGTGTGACTGAGAAGTTTGATAGCCAGTATTTGACAAGTAAGTGGGGACGCATAGCCATCCCTCAGTGCCACGGGTTCTTCTGTCAGACACCTTAGGTCTTGGTACTGGTTATACTGCCACATCCATTCATTTAGTGCTCAAGAGTTGTGGTAGATCTCCTTGATTTCTTTTTAGTAGTTAAGAGCTGGATGCCTTTGATAGCAGTGTATACTTCTAGTGTTATTTAGCACAAACTATTTACAGTAATAATTTAACTATTTGGGTATATGTTTTAACAAGTTTTGGGTCCTGCAGAAGAAAGGGGAGAAGGAGAGGCCACTAAAAGTGGGATTTCTCCTTCCAGGAGACCTTCGAGAAGGCAAGCCTGAGTAGCAGCAGCAGTGGTGCTGCCAGCCTGAAGAGCGAACTCTCAGAAAGCTCAGAGCTCCCTCCTGAAGGTTTCCAGGGACCCTGCGGGAAGGACGAAGACAGGGCCTGTGAGGAAATCCTGTCAGATGATAACTTCAACGTTGGAAACATTGAGAAAGGTACTCTTGGGGGGATGGGCATGAAAGCCCTCCGACTCCTTTCTATCCCAAGGTCATCTGCATTTCACATTTGCTTTTTTTTTTTTTTATGATCGCCCAGATATATATTCAGAGCTGGATGATGAATTGGACATTTCTGATAATTGCAGCAGCTCCAGTTCAAGCCCTCTCAAGGAATCAACTTTCAGTAAGCTTTCTTTCCTTATTTGTGGGGCTCCCAAGGAGTGATTTGGGCATCATACTGCAGGCCAGGAAATGTCATCCTGGACAGAGCCCATGGATGGTTTTCCCAGGGACAGAGTTTATGGGGACAGGTGTGTCTCTCCCTCTGGTGGCCTAAAAGCCAACCAGCAAGCACTGTGTTTTTCCATTGCCTCAGCTGTCAAATGAAATTTCATTATTTCTACCAGCAAAGGCAGGTTCTAACTGGGAAATGGAGACAAACGAAATAACCCAACCAGGATGTGACTATTATACGTCTGTTGACTCAGGATTAGAACTTGGAAGAGAAATGAGTGTCATTGTGGACTGCTATGAACACTTGTATTTGCCTTCATGTAAAGGGATGTCTTTTCTTTTAAGTAAAATAAATGTCTTTTATATAAGTAAAATAAATATGCTCATTGTTTATACCTATCAAACAGTATGATGTATAAAGATGTATAAATGCAGTCCATATGTTTATCTTGACTCTATATTAGAAACAGTATAGAAAATAGTTACACTGAAGTATGACAAAAAAGAAAAAATATATAGATAGAATTCAAAGATTATCAAGACAGGATTCAATTCACTCAGTGAATCTGAAACTGAAAGAGAACTTAACATAAGAAATGGAAGAAAGGAGTGATTTTTTTGAGAGTTAATAGAATATTAAATAGGGTAGATAGAAAAACTTTGAAGTAAATTAACTGTGAACAACTCCCTCTTACCGATGACTATTCTGTGAAAATCTCACAAAGGATGGTTTAAAACCCTCTCTCCAAGGATCACATTAGGCCCCTAAGGATTCAACCTCAGTCTTGGTTCCTTCCCATCTTATTTGGGCCATCAAAATGATGACCAACTACTCTAGATTTTCTGGGACAATCCCAATTTCCAACACCCTCCCCTGTTTTCTTGGTAAATTCCTGCTTGTTACATCAAATGCTCCGATATGTGACTGGGAAACCATGAACTTTACACAGGAAAAATATCCATACATATAAACATACATAGAAAATTCTAGAAGTGGTTTATGGTTGTTTTGAAATGAATTCAGTGTTATATATTCCTGCTGACAATGGTGGGGAGAGTCCATAGGTAAGTGAAGAAGGCAAGTTGGACCTTGAAATTGTCACGTGGTGACTTGTAGCTATCTTGGCAAAGGTCTTAGAATGTGTTGCTGAAGATTTTTTTTATTGTATGTTGTTAACTATTAATAATGGAGCTTCTCTGTTTAGCACCCTTTCTTTGGAAAAAGATCCTTCAACAAGCCTATCGAGAAACTAATAATTGCAACATTACATTTTAACTGATGTTTTCAGAAATGAAAACATCAGCCTTTATAGTACACAGATAATTGGATGCAGTCATTTTTTTAAACAAACTTAATATTTGAAGCAGGAAAGTGCAGTTATTTTTATATTCTTGTTTCAGGCACTTTAAAGAGAAGTTTTAGTGCTTCAGGAGGAGAACGACAATCCCAAACTAGGTAGGTACACACTGAGCTTCTGGAAATATTTTTAGACTCTGCAGACTGAGCTGTAGGCAGCCAGGTTGAAAACTGATAGCCAGAAGTTACCCTGGGCATGGGCTAGTAGAAGCTGGTGGAATACACTTTTTCAGAAGAACTGATTATAGTTTATCAAGCAGCATACTGAAAAGAGCACTCAGCACTACTTGGGTTTTAGTTTATCTTTGTTTTTTTCCAGAGCTGTCTAATCTTCCATCAGTCAGCTTCTCTGAACTCAAGGGTCAATGCAGGGTAGGGCAGTGGTACTGCATGAGGCCATGTGGAGTCCTGACTCCCTGCATCTTGTTTGTTGATGCCCCAAATCCCTGGGTATAGGAGGCAAATGTGGAACTCATCCCAACCCACCCAGCCAGCAGGTAATGGCAATGGAAGTGGAGACACACCCCTTCCTCCTAAGGGCCAGAATGTGTGTGCATCTTGGGTAAATACTAGAAGTGAAGTGGCTGGATCATATAGTCGCTGTATACTTAGCTATTTAAGGTACTGTCCAGCTGTTTTCCAGAGTGGTTGTACCATTGTCACATTCCCAGTTTGAGACATTTAAGCTCCATGTGTATAATGAGAGGGATTAAGGTGAATAGTGGTCTTTGTGGAAATCATCTTTTTTTTTTTTTACAGGTACATCTCTGTAATCATAAATAGTAAGAGAGAAAATAGAACTCCCTCTTCATTATTAAATTCTCATAAAATATTTCCTACTTTGAAATACTCATATGAAATAAATATCCTATTATTAATGTTTGGTTGATGTTTCTTGTACATTAGCAGAGTTACCCAAAAACTGGGTTAATATCTATGTCAAGAAAAAAAAAGCAATTATAATTCAATAATTAGTACTTTCTTTGAAATTTCCAGCTTTAATCATTCTAAATGACCTAAGTGAACTAAAATCTCCTGTGTCTATTACTACTTGCTAGGAAAGGATTAAGAATGGGCTTGACTTTCAGCAGCTTCTGTCTGGGTTTTCTAGTATCATTCAATTACATAGATAGGTAGACAGATAGACAGATAGATAGACAGAGAGACCTATAGGTAGACAGATAAATCCAATTCATTGAGTCATAACATTTTCTTTTAACTTCAAAAATATCCTGTTTATAGTAGAATTTGGTAATTCACACAGTTTTCCCCTCTATCATATTCACTCAGGTAAGCTTTGGGCATTGTATTAAGATCTTTGAGAGATCATTTTTTCATTCATTCAGTTAATATTACTTGTATGTGCTGGCACATACAAGACTCTTCCTGGTCCACTCTTTCATTCCCCAGGGCACAGTGTATTCCATGTAGATACCAGTCCACAAATACTTATATATTAATAGATGAATGATGATTATCCTAGCATAAATTCCCTATCTCTCATTGTAATATGACTGAAATCTAAGCTTCTGACTTTAACCTACAGCATTTGCCATAGTCACAGCTTAAGACCCATTTTATTTTTTAAGATCCTGTTGCTGAGGCAACAAGATTTATCCATGCCTGCTTGCATCCTGTTGCCAAGGTAACAGGGTAGGGTTGGCAGGCTGGTTTGAGACATTGGGTGTTTGTGGTATTAGAGATACCTGTGGTTCACAATTCCTTTGATAGTTTCATGTATGCATAATTGTATTGGAGGTTGTGTGACTGGCTCTAGTCTGTTTATAAAGTTGATTGGGGATGTTTGTGATCATCCAGCATCAGACATGTGAACATAGAGTCTCTTTTGTAATCTCAGGACCCAGGAGAACCTAGCAAAAGAAAATACTGCACCTACACCTGAATTCATTCCATGAAAAGTTAATACTACCAGTGTCTACCCTACCTGTTAGTGATTTGGAGTGGAAGGTGTAGGCTGACACTCATATTCTGCACTTTAGTATCTCGTTTTGGCTTATGACTTCTGGCTCAAGTCGCACCATGTCTAAAGAGGTCTGTCTAAAAACCTCTCAGAGTGCTTTAAAATTTTCCATTTTGCTGAAATTCTGATTTATTAACCTGAAGTGCTATTGATCAATGCTCTTTTCAAAAATACTGAAGGACACACCCTTCATTATGTTCATTATGTCAAGATTTTTTTTTTAACCAGAAAACGTTTCTGATTGTTACATTTGTGTCAAGCCATTCCTGTCTATTTTCCAGCATGTTCTATCACAACAAGCCATCTTTTTACGGCCATCATGTTTTAGTGGACATAAATGTGCAATCTGGTTCGATTAGAAGTAGACTTCTCCAAGGCTCTGCCTAATTCCAAATCTTTGTACACCTGTGGACCCAAAAATTGTATAGTCCAAAGTTGCCACTTCTGGTTACAATGAATCTGTTCTGTTTTGTACTTTTAGAGTAGCGCATTTCGTTAGAGTTATGATACAATTTTCAGAAAAATTAACATTTTCTCTGCTCTACCCATGCAATAGTGTGTGTTTCAAGACTGAAGTCTGTTTTTCTTTACCCTCTCCTGTCCAATGTCTGTACAGTGCTTACAGCAGGTGCTTAATAAATATTTAGGAATGAATAATAAATGAATGAATGGATGAAGGCTATTTTTTTTAAAGATCCCTGAAAGTTTACTAAACAGGAATTTGAATTATTTGAAGGAGTAGCAACATTAGCGTCAACTCTATATCTTCAGGACGGTCCATTTCACATATACCACTAGCATATTTTTTAATGTGTAAAAATGTTTGAAATTTTGGGCTTATCAGGACAACTGTAGTAGAAATTTAGTTCATTTCAGCCCATGAGTTCATTGAACTGTCAAGAGCCTCCAGAGCTACGTTTAGAACAGTGGGGTCCCTAAATAGTTGCAGGTTCAGCAGCAATGTGGGCCTCAGTCACATCTGTGAAAAAAAGGGTGGGGGGGCACCACCCTCTGAGGGAAGGGCAGGGCCCGCTGCAGAATATGGAGGCCCCAACCACATGTTGTACTCTTGAGTAGCTAGTTGGACAGAGGAACTCATTTTTAACTTCATTTTAATATTTAAATATAAAACTGAATATAAATCATTAATTTTTACATTCAGTATATTTTGAAATGATTATATTTGGATCTTGGCAGTTAAATAAAACATTATTAAAATTAGTTTTACTTCTGTTTTTTTAATGTAACTACCCCAAAATTTGGCTTCTCTTTGTGGCCTACATTATATTTCTATTGGCTAGTGCTTTTCTTGTCTAGAAGGTTTTGCAGAAAGCACCTGCCTTTGTGTGTACTAAGATATGAAGTGCTGGGAGGTTAGGCCCTTCTGGAACTTGCTGAGAGGAGGGACCATCTTATTTATTTATTTATTTATTTTGTTTTGTTGTCAGGGGTTACAAAACTGCAAGTGTTATATGATTTTCAAACTCTGGCTAGGAATTGGATGGAAAGGTAATGGGAGTAGGAGAGAGATGACTTGGTGGTGGTTAGGAATCGAAGAAGCAGCCAAGGGAGGGATGATGTTTGTATGAAAATGTTTGGTTTTATTCTGGCGCTTAAGTTGGGTAATGGATAAAGGAGAACCTGTGTAGTTATTCTTCATGACTTAGCTATGCACTGCAGGTATATATCAAAAATTCTGTGATTGAAATAAGAGGGTTGGAATAAGCTAAAAATTATCTGCCAGGTTTAATTGTATTTAAAAATTATCTGCCAGGTTTAATTGTATTTAAATCTCTATATTGATTTCTGCTGAGCAACTAACTATCACGGGTTTTATCCATAGTTTATTTTTTCTTATAATTTTTTCGTATAGTCATTATAACAATTTCAGGTGTGCATCATAAATCAACATATATAAATACTACATTAAATTCACCACAATTGTTTTATTCAAAATAATACTAGGAGATAAAAGCAATAAATTAATTTAAAAAATAACATTAGGAAATTGGCTTTAAACTCCAGAGGTAAAGAAAGGTTGATGGTTTTTTAAGACAGTCCCGTCCCCAGAGAGGACAACTTGCAAAATGATAACAAAATCTAGAACCTTAGGGCAGGGCAAGCAAGAGATGTTAACATTGGAAAATTTAGCAACATATAATACTATTAAAGGCAAAAAAAATCATCTTGTTTTGTAGAAGAGTTGTAATTTCCTTTACTTTTTAAAGAAAATAGGAGCAACATAAAAAATACTAGATGTGAAGTTTGAAATATTATTTCTTTTTAATACAAAATCAGTGGCTTGGTTTTAAGTGTAACAAGAAAATCATTCAAGGCACCAAGATTTAGGCTCCTAATCATTCTTCGAGCATATAAACAACTCTGCTGGGACGAGCTTCTTCCATTTGCCAGTGGAATGTCAGCTCTGCTCTGGGTTCCTATATGTTTTCCCCACTTTTTATTGAACTCTTGAGAGCTTCTTGGGGGGAAAATAGCCTTGATTTATTTTCCTACTGCAAGCCGTGGAGGAGTGTAGGCTTTCAGCAAATGTTAGTCAAATCCAAGTTAAACAAGATCATCTAATGGCCTCTCCTTCTGTTTTCAGAGACTTCACTGGAGGAATAGGCTCAAGACCCAGACCAGGTAATTCAGCGTGGGTTGCCATGAAATCTCGCGTGCCTCCCTAAATGAAGTGCCATTTGTGTTACAGTTTCTTATCTTTCCCCCTTTTATTTCTTCAGCTTTGCTGCCTTTTGACCTGCTTCTGAAAGTGCCACCCCTCAGGCTCAGGGCCCACGTTAAGGAGCTAGAGGCCGAGTTAGTGACGGGGTGGCAGGCCCACAGCCTCCCCGCTGTGATCCTCCGCAATCTCAGAGATCACGGTAGTACTTTTAGATCAAGTCGATGCCAAGCACACAATGGGCGAACACAGAATTCTAGTTGGGCCTGAAATGTCTGAATGATGCTTGGGAGGTAATTTCACCACAAACCGCAGTGAAAAATTTTGTTTTGTTTCTCCACCATTATCAGTTTGGCAATTGAAGAGTGCCGCCATGCTTTCTGTGTTCACTTATTTGATTGAAATATTATAGGCTGTTTTGCTAAACTTTGCGTTTCTGCTTTGGTGGGAATGCTTAAAGATACCTACTGACAAAAATAGTCACCATGTTTTAAATATTTTGTAGGCGCCACACCTAGGTGGTATGAGAGTGAATGTTTTTTCTAGCTTCTTTACTCTGACACTGATGGTTCTGTTTAGTTGTTTCTCGTATTTATTTAGATAATATTATATCACATAGTTTTCCTAACAATTAAAAATTGTGGATTCTTAAAAATTTTATGTATAGTATTGGGGAAAATCATGGGCTAGTGCTTTTATAATTTCTATTACCGAGAAACAAATGACAAAAATAATAGTAAAATCATCAACAAAATCTGGACAACTTAGGAAAGTTTCATGATTGTGCTTTTACCATATTAAGTACATGGCTCTTGAATATAACCTCCTTTTCAACTGTTTCGGCTCATTTGAAATAATTGCTTCATGCTATTTTCGCTTTGGCTTCCTTAATTCACATTCTTTTGTAGAGTTAACACTTAGAATGAACATAGGTGATGTGTATTTATTGAATGTAATGTTAGTCCATGTCTTCATCTTTACTAAATTTGCCTTGGAAGAGTTATTGACAGTTTGAGGCCATTTACACCGTCAGCATAAATTCATAAAAAAAGATGGTTTTGTTATTAAGATGTCCAAAGCTATCATGTTGTCCATGATCTACTCCTGCTGTTTTGGCATAAGGTAAGCTCATAACATCATCATGAAGCTAAAATGATTGTTGTTGATTGATTTTATAGCAGCAGAAAAATTCACAGTAGAAAAAGGAATTCCTTTTTCTAAAGGGCATGTTGAATTAGTTCAGGTTTAGTCCTGACTTTATGTCGGTGAGATCGATGAGATCGCTGCATCTTACATTAAAGCATTACACTATAGCACAGGTTATATGTAACACGATCCTTAAGTTTTAAAATTTCACTGATTCATGTTGCTTTTTAAATTTGAAACATTTTAGTGTCTAGTTTTAGTAGAGCATGCAGTACTGCAGGTAAACTTTGACAGTTGATTGCCTTATCAGCTTACAAGTACCGCCCCATCACCTGCAGGCTCACTCCACTCCAGTCGTCAGTGCTCTGTTTCTAGGCTAATGAAGAGAATGAGAAGGCGATGACCCGTAGTCCCATCAGATGTGAGTTGTACGTTAGGTATTGGTGACATAAAGTAGGGAAAGCACTAAACTCTGTGTATGATTTACTTTTAAAAAAAAAAAAAAGCAGATTTGTATATTTTTAATTTACATGACATTTGACTTAGCTTTCTTGGATGGAACATAACACAATGGAAATTCTGACTAACCCACAGCTAGAAAGGGGGGATTTTGTTAAAATTTGGACATGCTCCCAGGCATTTATCTAGTGGGGGGTCATGATTTTCCAGGCACTATGGCAGAGCAAAAGGTGAGGACCCAGGGGCTGTGCCATGATATGAACCTGCCAGTTACTTCCAGCGTCACCTTATACTTAATATACAGTAGCACTTAGTATTTTGCCAAACTCCTGTAGAGTTGATGACCACAGACCATTTCAAGTTAACATGACTAAAAACCCTCTTGTTCCAGTTTTAATCCTAATAAGATCGGGTCAGTAATTTAAGTGTACATACTCTTTAGGTTAAACAATAATCTGCAGTGCCTGCTGAGAGAAGTGAAATTTAGGAATCTGATATTGTGTGAGTAAAGATATTAACAGCAATTAATAAGGAATCAGTGAATAAATAAACATTTTAAGCATTAATTATTTTAGCTCTATTTTCTAAAGGTTGATTACAGGTAGGTTACCATTTGGCCATATCTGAGTACCACTCGTAGTATTATTTGACTCCTTCTTTCAACTTAAATTTGTTTAAAGGGAGTTTATATTATTGCTACAAATGGAAACAAAGATGGTATCACTTGCTATAAAAAGAGGACAGTTGCAGAAATAGATGCAAATCAAAGCAAAACATTATTAAATTCTAAATAGATGCTATTATCTGCTTATCCTGAGGTCTGTTTTCTTTGTTATAAAGAAAGCTAATTAGCTAATATTCTTAGCTAATATTTGAAACTGTGATGACATACTCCCTCCATAACTAACATAATCTTTGATATAGTCTGTAGAGAGACGATCAAAAAAGGAATGCCTTTCTCATTGTGATTTTATACCTGGTCGAATCACTGCGAAAAAAAAAAAATATGCTGTACAATGCACGATGCCTAAAAAACTCACTTCTTTAAGAGTAATCAATTGATTTTGTGGTTTAGTCAAACCCATTCATCAAAGGAATGGATATTTTGAATGAAAAAGAAAAAAGAAAAACAGTGTAGGATCTGTTGTATGTAAAAAAGAAATTGTTCTTTCCTGGTAGGGCAAATGGCTTTATGTATTTGTGAAAAGAAAATCATACCAAAATATAGTACAAGAGTTGCATTCTTTGTCAACTACCCGGAGTACACTGTAATGTTACAGAAAGTGTTGGTGTGGGTTGAATGTAAATTTTTGGGAGTACCAGCCAAACCCAAATTTTAAAGTATAAATGTAATGTCAGCTAAGTGTAGGGCCTTGTTTGACTGGATTAACACTGACATTTCCCCATAGAAATTGTCGCTGTGATTTCTGGATCTTAATTATGTTTTTCACTAGGTGACTGAGAATCTATTTTTACACGTGTCTTTTGTTCATAAAGGTTAGATCTAAATAAAGTAGTCGATATTTCATCCAAATATTCCAGAAAGCACAGTTAACACTGTAATTGTCCTTAGTGTGAGCAGCCTTGCTTCCAAGTCACTTATTGACACAAACTGTTGAATTTTAAATTTCACAATTGCTAAAGTGATTTTGAGTTCATGCCTTCTCTCATTTTCTTGCATGACAATTATTTAGCATATTTGCCAAGCTATAATCAATTACTATAGGACTTGTCTATACCAGGCATGTGGCATATTAGTTACATGGTTTTTTTTTAAAAAAAAAAATAAGACTTATATTTAATTATACATACAGAACTGGGGTACAGACTAGAGGTGCAGGGGTGGTGATAGGATTCACCAGAGACAGTGGGGAGCAGAACAGGCAGATTGACGAAGTACACTGCTGAGGGGAGCAGTGGGCAGGTCAGGAGAGGTCTGCCACGCCATGTGGATCACCTCCCTGACTACGGATCGAACTCGTGCAGAAGCGGCAAACTTCTTAGTGCTGTGCTTTAACCTGTTGCTCCACCAAGGAGGGCCCCTACATGCTTTTCTACACTGTTTGTTGGGATTTGAGTATATTGGCTGTATTTCTCAACCAAATTGTAACATTTTTAGTAAAGTTTGCCTCTATCTTGATTATTTCCTCTGAGATCAAGTCCTTGAAAACTAATTATTGAGTATTAGATGTAGACCATTATTGTATAAATAGATACACTCTTGTTTATAAACTCTTGCTTAGGTCAATGCATAAGCAATCTCATGACGACTTAAAGAATGGGAAAGCAATGGTAATTTTAATGTCAGATGTCAGAGTCAGGGAGGAAGAGGAGGTAACAGATTTCCTTCATCAGTGATTGCTTCCTAATTCTTTTTACCAAGAGAGTCCAGGGAAAATGCTGCTTGGAGATGAAGGCCTTTTTCTTTTTTTTGATTCTTTATAGGATAATGTCTTTTCAAAGAGAAGTTCAGTCTCACAAAAGTTATTGATGGGCCCAGTACAGACCAAGTACTAAGTGCAAATCAGCTGTTAAATGCAGTTTACTACCCTGGCCCCAGGGTTTCTTCCCTGGGGAAGCAAAGAGGGGCAAGAAAGTTATATCATCTCTGATGCTAAGAAAATGAGGGCAATGAGGCTTGGAGGATGATCAGAGAACAGTGTACAAGTACGCGAGCCAGAGGCAAAAGCAAGCTCTCAAATGCCAGATTGCCGTTATTGATGATTAAACTTTTTTTTTTTTTAAAGATTTACTTATTTATTCATACAAAACTGGGGTACAGGCCAGAGATGCGGAGGGTGAGAGGATTCACCAGAGTGGGGAGCAGAACAGGCAGATCGATGAAGTACACTGCTGAGGGGAGCAGTGGGTGGGCCAGGAGAGGTCTGCCACGCCATGTGGTCACCTCCGGGGCAGGCAGGAATCGAACTCATGCTGAAGTGGCCCCAGCCTCCCAGTGCTGTGCCTCAACCCGCTGCGCCACCAGGGAGGGCCTGATTAAACTTTTTTGATTGACTGCAGCGCAATTCCATGTAACTTCGGTGTCCCGCATAAGAGTTCCACCTCTTCTTTATGTTACATTATGCTCGCCACCTGAAGTCCAGTTTCCACTGAGCTCCCTTCCTGATTTACCCCGCCCTCATTCTCCTTTACCCTATGAACCCCACTGAAGGTCTCGTTTCCACCCACCACCAAACAAATGACTCCCCTTTGCTTGCTTTACCTGCCCCCCACTTCAAAATGCTTACAATTTCCCTTTGAATTGTCAGGCAGCAATTTGAGTGTACGATTGATCCAGTCGTAATGAGAAAGCAGAAAAAGACCTCTTGCTTCTCGCTGGCCACCTGCCTGCCCGGCAGTCCAGCAGCGACCCTGCCCATTCCTAATTAACTTTCCTCGGGATGGGTTCTGTCCATCCTTTGGGATGTTTTAGTTGGAAAAATTGTTGCATGACTAATAGTTGAATTTTACTTTGTTGGAGAGCAAAAGTACAATCCTTAAAATTATTCTGAGCAAAAGTACAATCCTTAAAATTATTCTTAGCAAGTGACCTAGCACAGGTGGCCCTGTGGAGTCTGGGTACCTTTCTGTGTCGCC